AACCTAAAAATAACAATGGCTAATGTAGTTTTATAGACAATTCTGACAGCAAAATAGTGTGAAAATGTTTTATAACAAGCATTTATCATTAAAATAGGTTCATAAGAAACACTAAAATGGGAATAGAAATTCTAAAACTTCAAATAAAGAGTCAGTATTCTAAGAGATCTCAAATCTACGAGAGGTAGGAGTCAGAACTATAAAACTTGGATCTGTCGTTTAATAAGCAGGGCAACTTTGGACAAATGACTTAGTAATACACACTCGTCTCATTAAATCCTTCCACGTAAAGAACTCAGTATAAAACTTGTGCAGAGGAATATCTTAAGAAATTATAAGTATTGTATTAGTAATTATTAATGCACCTAGTAAAGTATAAATAGTGATGAGACTTAGTATATGGAAATGGGCCAAACAAATCAAATGCCATTCTGTCTGTAGGCTAATTTCAAAACTGAGAAGTTAATAAAATCAGTGACCTGAAGACCCAACCTGGGAAATCGTGTGCCTTTATATTTAGTTATATAGTTAGGTTCCACACTGTTTCCTTTGTACATAACCTAAGGACACATGGTCAATATGGAACACAATTATGAACAGCCAGAGATAACAATAGTAGAAATGAATCAAGATTATAAAGCCTGATTCAGCTACTACAAACCCATCCACATGATCACTGTAAAAAGTCACTTGTCCTAAACCTCAGTGCGGGACGTCTGAAACCTCCTCTCGCTCAGGCAGTGTCCTTTGTCCCCATGTTGTTCTCTTAGCAAGAATCCTGCTAAGTCAGTTGAGCAAGAATCCCCAACCTCGGTATCTGATCAGGTTCCTTATCCCTATGCACCTTCAAGTCCTTGGCCTGCTTTCAGCAAGAATCCTGCTAGGTCAGTTTCGTTCCATTTGGTGTAGCCTCTTAGTAACTTTCCATCCCCTCACCCCACTTCCAGCTCGGGCCATGGGCTACAAACCCCCAGTTGTCATTGCTGTATTCAGACACGAGTGACACTCTTCTCCCTTATTAGAAAGGCCTTAAATAAAAGTTTCCCTATAGTTATGACAAGTATCAGGATAGGTTTTCTTAAACAGGGATGTGTAGGAAGGTCTTAGAAGCTTCCGGTATGGTGCTAATCACAATGCTGGGTGGAAAAACACCACTCTACTTCAACTAGTGTAACTTGAAGGCTCCAAATATTAAGATTCAAAACTACCAAAAAGAGTAAGATATTACAGTTAAACAAAACCCTAGTGCTGGTCTCGTTGAACCTTAATAACCTGTGATTTCATTTTAAGTTAATTTTAAAGATAAAAGCAAAAAAGGGAAGATGATGCCATAAAACTTTATTGGGGTGTGATGACGATCTCTTGTTATACCATGGACCCATCCAGAAGCCAAGGACACATAGCAACAGTGCAATAATTTCAGCCATTGCATGAGAGAAAAATGAAAGCAGATATACAATGCTTAGTTCTTGAAAGAGGATGGCATAAATTCAAGAGGAAAAAATCAACTCTTGAATTAGGCAAATCAGAGAATACTACAAATGCACTTGACTTTAAAAATCTGTCCCAAACATCAAGAATTAAAATAACTTTCCTTAAACAATACTATATTTTTAGAAAAGGACTCCAGATTGCTGTCAGTTGGTATTGCTGTATATATGATTCGAAAGTTCTGGGTGGAGGGTAGCATCAGGGACAATGTTGTCTGTCAACACAGTGCTCGGACACAAGCAGTACAGCTCAGGTTAAGTCCTTTGCTGCAGCGTTACCGTCTTTGATGAAAGCTGATGCCCTTTCCCCAGAAAAGGGACCCACCAGGAACTTCTTTATAGTGTTCTCTGATATGCTTAATTCAAGAGTTGATTTTTTTCTCTCTTGAATTTATGCGATCCTCTTTCATTACTATGGGGCATGTGAAAAAATAAAAAATGGGAGAAAGCTATTCAGTTGCATAAAAAGAGGAACTCTAACTTCTGCAGGTCTCCAGGAGGGTCGGAAGGGATCTGGGACTACCTAGGACTTTGACCTCTCTGCATGGAAATACTATTACGAGCTCTGTTAAATGAGAGCTCCGCCTGTTTCTTTCTACTACTACATAACAAGTACAGAATCTTAAGGTTCTTCAATGCAAAACAATGCAACAGGAAGCACACAAGCAGGAGGTTGGCAAAGAGGTGTCTGTCAGCAGGAAGGGCAAGGCCGCAGAGCTCAGAAAGGGGAAAAGGCAGGCCAGGGACTCCTGAGCTCGGGCACAGGAGAGAAACAGCAATTTCTCTGTCACCATTATCAACCAATGCCATTTACTGGCATTGGGTAATCAGTGCCAATGACCAGCGAACAGAACAGCCTACAGATTCCAAAACAAATTCAGATACTTATAGGCTATTGGCATTTGCTAGCTTGGAATAGTCATCTCATCAAAAATTTCACAATTTCACTCTGAGCTACAAAGTACCTGAATAACTGTATATTTAACAACAATCCTAATTGTAGCTTTTTTTAATGCCCTCCATCCAGGGCAACTTTTCTGAGAAAGGTAATGAAAGAAAAATAATCTTATAGTGATTGCTATAACCAAAGTTGTTGTTTCTGCACAAGGAATGTACCCATCACTGATTTAAAGCCAATTATCATAACTTAATATCCAGAACAGTGTTGCTTTAAAAACTACCATTCTTTGGCTTTCTCTACTGCTGCAGTTAACCAAAGGCTCAAATTCCACATTCTCTACCATCCCAAGATCATTAATGTGCAAAAAAAACAGGTCAAGCAAGTCAAGAAGGGAAATTAAAGTTAAATTGGATCCGAAGGGCATTAAAAAAAATGAACTGACCTTTAGGTCCCTGCAATTCAAGACCACTTGGGTGGTCTTGCACCTTCTTGGAAAGAAGGAAGTAGCCGTCCTCGGGCCCTCTGGGTTAGACTGTAGCTTCCCATAGATGCTCTCAGAGCCAGATCTGACTCAGAAACACCTGCTGTATACCCACAGGTACATCCAGGGCAGTCTGGGAAAGCCTGCATCACCCAAAACTGACCTCGCTACTCCTAGGTGATGCGAGTGCGGGTGGAAAGCTGTCATTTTTATACAAGTCATTCCTTAACACCCATACCCTGGTTTTATACATAGTTTACACAGGTTTTCCTAGCCTTCAAAATGAACATATTTCACGTTCTAAGTCCAAGAAAAAATAAGGCAACTGAGGCCTTGTGAGGAGCAGGCTAACGCTGCCAGGGCCATCAGCACCCCAAGAGACGAAGAATTTTAGATTCCCTTATGTTGTCTCCAGCCCCAGCACAGCCTGGGCCTGCCAGGGACGCTCCAACATTCTGATACTAGCCTGGCCTCCTCTGCCCTTTCCTATAGGCTTCTGAGAGATTATTCCTTTCTACCACCCCCACAGTTCTAACATACCCTTCTCCTCCTGGCTCTCTATCTGCCTGCCTCTATGTGGTTCTTGCCCTAAGCCACCCACTGGTGACTGCAGGCTCCAACCACGCAGGTGTCAGAAGAAGGATGCCTCCAGGTTGCTTTCCCTTCCATCTTGCAAAGGGTCCAAACGGGCTTTGAAACTTCTTAGCTTCAACACCTGGTGTATTTTGGCAGGTGTTTTTTTTCTCCTCCTTTAGGTCGCTCCTCACACGTGTGTTCATTTTGGCTCTGGCTTTCTCTCTTGCTAAAGTGCTATTTTGTACCTTCCCCACCCACCACGTTCTCTCCCGCGCCTGTTTTTGATTCCATGTTCATTTTCCCCATCTTAGTGCCCAATTGAACTCCCTTCTGTCTCCTCACCACCGTCCACACGTCAGTCTTCTACCCACACTGATGCACGCTTTGGATGTCTACACAAGACGCCCCGCCATCTCTTGCACCGGAACCCGGAGCACCGGGAGCCAGGCCTGCCCCGGGGTATCCGGGCCACCAGAACCGGGTCAGCGTCGAGGTGCCCGGGCGTTGGGAGAGCTGATTGGTTCCGTGATGAACCAATCCGCGAGCGACGCCGTGCATGGGAAAGGGAGGGCCAAGATGCTCCAGGGGATGGGGTTAAAGGCAAAGGGGCAGGTATGTCAGGTGCCAGGGTTTTGCTTACACTTTGCCACACACGGGGTCACCATGAGCCTCAGAATTCTGGGCAAAATGTCCCCCTTCCCTAGTCTTCCTGTCCCACAAAGCTGACATAGTGCATAATGGGGAGGGAGCGCTGCTCATCCTACCATTCACAAGAGGGTCATTAACAGTCAATGGAGAAGGCGCCAGGCGTGGGGGGAAGGGCGATCCCTCCCCGTACCCCGTCGCACCCCGCGTCGTCAACCCAACACACTGGGTTCTAGAAATACCAAATCACGCAGACGTTCACTTAATCGCCAAAGCTGATCACCAAAATGCCGCAAGAGATCCTTGTAGTTAAGTTTTCCCCCTCGCCGAGGACGCGGGGACACGGCGTGGGCGTTGACGGGACGCTCGTTTGCCTCCCGGTTCCAAGAAGAGCAAGGGGGACTGCCCGGGTGCAACCAGAGACTCCAAACCTGGGGAGACGCGCAGCCGCTCCCGCCCCAAGCCCCGACACTGCTCCCCAGCGGCCTCAGCTCCCGGAGCCTCTCCGCCCCCACGAACTCCCCACGCAGGAACACACACGTTTTGGCGGACGATGGCAGCGCGGATTCGGGGTTCCCCTGCTGCTTCCAACTTCGTCAGAGCCGCTGCACCCACTTTTCCCCCAGGTTCAAAGCACCGTCCCACCTTAGCTTTCCCACGGTCCATCAGCGCCGCCCTCCCGGCTCCCGCCCCGCCAGAGCCCCCGGCGCCGCGCGTCCTTGGGGCGGGAGGAAGGTGGTGGAAGGGAGGAAGGGGAAATGGCCAGAGAGTCGAGAGGTGCCCGCCGAGGCCTGGGCACCGGCGGAGCTCCCCGGGGTGGGCAGGAGGGCAGCTGGCAGGCAGGGAAGGAGCAGGGCTGGAAGCGCGCGGGGAAGGGCCGCGGAGGAGAGCAGGGCGCCGCACTCACTCTGCGTAGCCGGTGGCCCAGGGCAGCCTCCGGGTCTCCTTGAGGATGAGGATGGGGCGGGCGATGTGGTCGGCGCTGCACTCCACCTCGTCCTGAGACAGCCCCAGGAACTCCGGCCGCCCGTAGGGGAAGCGCAGGGGCAGGTCGGAGCCTCCGCAGCCGCCGCCGCCGCCGCCGTGCTCAGAGCCGGAGCTGCCAGCCATGATGCCGCCCATGAAATTGGCTACGGCAGATTTCACTCGAGTGAGCATATTACTCCGGCGCCCGGCAGCAGCGGTGCAAGCGGGGGGCGGCGGGCGGGCGGGCGAGGCGCAGCGCCGGGCATGCAGGCTGAGGTGGGCGCCGGGCGCTCGGGCCGCTGGGGCGCGCCGCGCGGCGGCTCCCGGAGACTAGTGCTGCTGCAGGGGGCCGAGCGCCGGCCTCCCGTGCTCCGCGCCGCCGCCGCCTCCTTCTCCTCCTCCTCCTCCTCCTCCCCCGGCTACACTTCCGCAACCGAGCGGCATGGAGCGCACCGGCGAGGGCCACGGGAGACACGGCGCGCGCCGGCAGCGCCCGCGGGTGGGGGGCCGCAGCTGCAGCAGGTCGCTTCCCCGCCTCCTGCGCTGCGCTCCTGCGTGCGCGGGGCTGAGCCCACCCGGCGAGCCCGCGGTGCCGCCGCGGCTGCTGCCACGGCTACCGCCGCCGTCGAGTCATGTGATGATCCGGCTGCGAGGGCAAGGGCTGCGGCGGCGGCCGCGGCTCAGCTCCTCCCCCGCCGGCCCGAGCGTGGCTAGCGCGGTGACCTCCCAGGGATGGAGGGGGTGGGATGCCAGGCAGGGTCCGTACCTTGGCGGAGAGGCTGAGGGCGCTGGGAGCCTGCGGCGGTACAGGTGTTAGAGGCTGTCACGTGGAGCCCGTGTGCGGGGCAAAACCCGGGGAGGAATCCACGCGTGCGAGCCTGCCGCCTTGACCCTCGCGCATTAAAAACTTGGCGAGCTGGAGGGTTAATGAGACACAGGTGCAGCCAAGGTGGGACGGCTCCCAATCTCGCAGGCAAAATGAGCGAAATCATCTGGCGGGAGAAACAGAAACGCTTAAACTAATTAAAAAAAAAAAACTCCACACGGCACAAAAGATCATTAGAAGTTTTCCCTGAGGCATCTGTAGAATCAGTCTGTCTTCCATTTATCGTCACATACTGTATTCTTCGTGGAGCAAACCCCGTTTCGAATGTGCAGTAAGCTTCCCCATGAACAAAACAAGAGCAGACGCCAGTATTGTTTCACCTGGCACTCAAGTGTTTTCCTTCAACATGGCAATAAAAGCATCTTGTCAAAACTCAATGTTTGCCATTCATTCACTCCACGTAGCTGTATTTTATTCTTCATTTTTGGTTGTCATGTAATGTTTTTGTATACCATGTACATTTTAATGGGGGAGATTTCGACACACAAACACAGTATAACCATTAGCATTTCCGTTTCCTTATTTCTTTATGGAGGCTTTGCATTTCCTCTCCAAGTCCTTTATAAAATGTGTTATTATGATCAATTGCTGACCCCTCATTGGGCTATGAAATTCTGGAATGCATTCTTTCTAGCTGCGGTTTGGTAACTGATTCAAACTCCCTCAATCGCTCTCCTCTCTCCAGCTTCTTGTGCTCCCTAGCCAGCCTTGTTTTTGTTTCAAGCCTTCCACTTGTGTAAGAGCGAACACGTGGTATTTGTCTTTCTGGGAATGGCTTATTTGCTGCACGTGACAGGACTTCGTTCCTTTTATTGCTGAATAATATTTCATTGTCTACCTGCACCACATTGCCTTTATCCACTCATGCTTGGATGGATACTAAACTGAGTCCTTATATTGGCTTTTGTGAATAGTGCTGTGATGAACATAGGATAGCGCTTGAATCTGCTGATTTCATTGCCTTGGGATGTGTAGCCCAAACTCAGAAACACAAGGTCACCTGGCGAACATATTTTTAGCCGTTACTGCCTCCCACAATGGTTGTACTAATTTGTATTCCAACCAAAGGTGTACCGTGGTATCTTTTTCTCCACATCCTACTCAGCATGTATTAGCCCTTCCAACTGTCACAACATGCTATCTCATTGTGGTTTTGATTTGCATTTCCTTAATGGCTAATGTATTGAGCATTTTTTTTCAATATTTGTTTTGCTATTTGAATTCCCTTTTAGAAATTTCTATTCAAATCACTTGCTCGTTTGAAAATTGGCTTTCTGTTGTTGAGGTTTTGAGTTCCTGGTACAGTTATTAATCTTTTGTGACATGCATGAGTAGTTTGCAAATATTTTCTCCCATTCTGTGGATTGTCTCTTCACTCTGTTGACTGTGTCTCGTGCCGTGTAGTTTGACATAATCCAATTTGTCTAGTGTTGCTTTTGGGGTTTTATCCACAAGAAAATCACTGAAACTTTCAAGTGTTTTTTTTTTTCCTTCTGTTTCATGTAACATTTAGGCACGTGTTCCATTTTGAGTTGATTTTGGCATTGGCTGAGCCGTGAACGGAGTGCTGCTGGTTGAAGCTTACCTTTCTGCTCATGGAGAGAACTGCTCATACCCAGCTGCCCTGGCATCATTCAATGAAAGTTTTACTTTTCGTCATTCAAAGCATTGCTACAAAAGTATCTGAGGGTGTTTGAAATGTAGTAAAGTTACGTAGAACCTAGCAACTGCATTAATTCTAAAACGAAAATGAATATGTGCTTGCAACAATAAAATATTTATGGTGATCCTACTAAAACAAGTCAGAAAAAAATGCAAACAAACTGCCTCATCAAGGGCAGCATTTGTTTGTTAAATACTGCTCGTTCTTTTTCTGGAATGTCTGCAGTAGGATCTCTATGCTGTCCCTACATTTGCCTACTATGTAACTGGCCAGGGTTTGGTTCACCTCGCTGTGCAGTTCTGCGCTGGCCAGCTCTCTTGGATAGGAAGGAATGCAGCTCTCCTTCCCAACGAGTGGGGCGGGGGAGACTGCCCAGGTGTTGCAAGCAAAGCTAATTCTCTTAGGAGACTTTATGAGTTAGGGGGAGTCCTTACTGATTGGTAAAACCTGGGTAGATCTCGCTGCTCCCTCGGTAGCTGTAATCTTTTTTTTTTTTTTAAAGCATTTTTGTCTTGGGCTTTTTTGGATGACTTTTGACTAGGTATTTTAGTTTACTGTATATCAAATATGAAAAACATAGTATTGTTTCAAAGTTCAGTGAAACATCACTACCATCAATGAGTTCTTTTATTCCTTTTTTACAAAATAGGAGAGTAATTTATCTTGGTGCCATTTCCCCTTTTCACTTTTAGAAATTGGTACAGAACTTTAAATGATACGAAAACCGGAATATTTAAACTTGGTTAAACTGTCAACTCATTCTGAATGGGAAATTTCTGATTATTCCTACATATGTAGTGGCTAATCATAGAACACACTGCATGTTTAATAGTTCTGAATCTGAGAAGCTTAAAAAAATTCCGTAAGCTTTTATTGTGAACAAGTTACCTTTTACTGTGGTCTTTTGGGTATGTCAGTAAGTAATTTTTTTTTTTTTTGGTCTGGAATTTAATATGATCTTCCTGTTTAAAATAAAATCCCAGGGCCCAGTGCGATAGCCTAGCAGCTAAAGTCCTTGCCTTGAATGCACCAGAATCCCATAGAGGTGCCAGTTCTAATCCCCAGCAGCCCTGCTTCCCATCCAGCTCCCTGCTTGTGGCCTGGGAAAGCAGTCCAGGACAGCCCAAAGCTTTGGGACCTTGCACCTGCGTGGGAGACCCGGAAGAGGCTCCTGGCCTCTCCCAAGCAGGTGCAGGACCCCAAGGCGCAAAAGAAGCTGGCGTTTGGCTTGGATTGGCTCAGCTCCGGTTGTTGCGATTGCTTCAGGAGTGAATAATTGGATGGAAGATCTTCTCTGTCTCTCCTCCTCTCTGTACATCTGCCTTTCCAATAAAAATAATAACTAAATCTTAAAAAAAAAGTAAAAAGAATGTGCAGCCGCCCCTTTGGGTACAGAGAGGAACAGGGCCAGACCCCTGGACTCTCCAACTGTGGTCCATCTAAAAAATTAATAATAAAATATAAAATATAAAATAAAATAAAGTCCCATTCAAAGACCACTATAAGCTATCTGAATGATTAAATCTGTTGTTTTTAACATCAAGTATTTGCTTAAAGATCTTTCTCAATTTATCTCGATGTTGCTTATGAGTAGAACTTTCCTAGCCTGTAATTTCCAATAAATAAGTCTTAGCTAACTTCAGTCACCATGCAAATTTATAATAATAGAGACACTAAATTATATGAATCTCTCCAATAATATACCAACATGAATTATAACCAGGGTGTAAGTTTGAACCTAACTTGCTTTTGCTTTAAAAATAATTTGCATCTTGGCATTATGTATTGTATAAGTAACTATACATGATACAGCCATGGATTATATAATGTTTTGGCTAGAAATGTGTGGTATGTCAAGGATATTTGATATTTATCAAAGGGGAATTGATAATAATCCATAGTAAATAAAACCATTTATATATAAATGATGATTACTTTATGAACTAAGGGGTTAATCTCCAACTTTTGGGTAGAGAATTAGAAAATATTAGCAAATGCATCAATATCCATGCTAACTTGGTATGTTCAATCAATACATTGCACTTCACTTTTCCTATTACTTTCCCATTGCCCATCTTCTATGAATTGTTCTTCCCCTTCCCATGTTGTTCTGGACTGCAACTGCTGATTGTAATTGATGCGGAAGTTGTGTAAGCCTGAATGTTTACTGTATGACCCCTTTATAACACCTGTTCTGGATCAGACTCTGAAATGAGCTGATTATAATAATAAAAAATGGAAAAAACAAATCATTCATGTTTACAGAATCTCTGTGATGATCAGTCAGATAATAGTTACAAATATGTTTTAATTTACATTGGCCTAGGTTTATCACCTTCCTCTAAGGGAGCTGGTTTTTAATATTAAAATATTAGAGTCTGGTGCTGCGACACAATGGGTTCAGCCCCCTGCCAGTGTGCATGGAAAAAGTGGCAGATGATGACACACGTGCTTGGACCCCTTCCATTCGAGTGGGAGACCCAGATGAAGTTCCCAATTCCTGGCTTTGGCCTGAGACAGTGCTGACCATTGTGGCCAAGTACGGAGTGAAGCAGCAGGTGGAGATCATTGTCTGTGTGACTCTTTCACAATAACTAAATAAATCTTAAAACTTGAAAATAACAATACTTAAGTCATGGGATTATCTGGATGATAAAACAGAATAACATGAATTTCCAGTATTCCTTGGCACAGAATGGGTGGGTAGTCTAGAGAGAGTGAGCATCACAACATTCTACACGTTGAGAGAGGATGAGTCTGCCTGTGTTGTCTCAATGTCCTTAATCATCACTACCAATTTTACTGAACTTGGGCGGTTTATAAATAACTTGCCCAAGACTACAGAGCTAGAAATGAAGTCCAGCCCCAGTACTTCATTTTAGTTCATCTAAAGTGGTGCTGCAGTTGTCATGAGAGTTATGTGAGGTTTCTGTAGATTTAGAAACAAAACAATCCTTCAGGAATCTTGATGGAAAGTTGTAGGTACAGTAGTTTCATTTGGAAATTGTTGTAAGTTCTAACTTGATTAATTATTTCTAGTGAAGTTTGGATACAGCTTGTGTCTTGGGATCTGCCTGTCTGGGTCATG